CCTCTCTTTTTAAATTTCTCTCTTTTCTTCTCTGAAACTTTTTCATCAGTCAGTTACTGCATATATAATTTTTATTGCATAAATAATGTATGATCAGTAGTCTCATCATAATTACATGAAACACAGCAAGAGGAAGCCTGAGTGAGTAAGGAGTGAGTGTACTTGTGGGTGTAGAACAGAAATGGTCAGTGGTTACTGGTTACAAAACAAAATAAATATGCTTAACATCAAAGGTCATATTGCACTATAGAAAGGTGTAGTAATGAAAACGGTAAAGATTAAATGTTCTAGTTCAGGAGAGTATGGCACTGAAAGGAGCAAAGAGGGGTGATGGTAGAGAGGGTGAGTCACGTGTATCCAGGAGAAAGTGGAATGGATAACCGGGAAGCAAAGGGGGATGATGCAAATGAAGCAGGGGGAATGGGAGTGGGAGGATGGGGTGCAGGGAGGACATGAGTAGGAGATGGATGGCTGTCAGCAATTACTCTGAATGTAGAGAGAATGGGAACAGAGAGATTGGAGGATGGATGAGATGTAGGCACATGTAGGGAGTAAAAGAAAAACCTTTTCTGCTTCCTGTCTTGCCTCACGTAAAGTGGGGCTAAGTTTTAATCTGAGAATTCCCAACTCGGACTCAGATTTGTTGGCAGGGCAAACCCTACAAAATACATGATGGGAGCCACCACTATTGGGACATGTGCATGATTGTGCAGAGAAGCTTGATTGATCATGACCAGGTTAGGCACATAACCTCATGGACCTCAGCCCTTGCCTCAACTAATTTTGCAGTCTTTTCTCCTTCTTTCTTTCTCTTATCTTCCCCATCCCTTCTGTCCAATTCTTAAGGTGTAAGAGCCGTGTTGAAAGGATGAAAGGCTGACCTTGTCCCAGTCATTAATGGCCTCAGGGAGCCATGAGTGCGGTATTCCTTGGTAAATCATTTAGCCCTTACCTTCCCCACATATAACAGGCTTACCATGGCCAGTAATGAAGATTTTGTACCCTTATTAGGGGCATTGAGGATTGCCTCTTTATCAAATAGCCTCTCTGAATTTTAATTCCTCTAGTTTACCGACCCCTGACTCCCCTTTGACCATGGCTCCGGCCGCTGTTAGTACACCTCCCTCTGTTACACACACTGCCAACTTGACCGATCCTGAATCATCTACCCAGGTTACAACTCAACTATTAAAAGACATCTCATCCTCACTCCCAACATCTTCCAGCCCACTTCCTGAACAATCACCTTCACATTCAACCTCCTCACTTAATTCAACTCTTCAACCTTATTGTCCACACTTCCATAATGCAACCTCACTTTACACCACTCCTCCTCCTCCCGTCCTCGTCTCTCAACAATACCCACTTCCTCAAACCTTTTGAGTAATCTCTTTAGACCAGCTAAGTGGGACCGATTCTTTATAGTTCCCCCAATAGCACCTCACTCAGATAATACCCTACTCTTTCAACAATGCCTCCAAAAACAAGTAGGCAAAGTTTTCTTCCGCAGTCGTCCTGATCGCTCACGCTTAATAACAGTTACATCTGAGACTCAAGCCCAAGCACTATCTACCCTGGTTACCCTCACTGGCAAACCTATCCCTGTCCAACCTCACCCCTCCCTTAATTCGTGTACTGGAAATGTTTCCCTATCCTCAACTGCTTGCCCTGTCTATGGAAAAAAATGGTCAGACTGTGAAAATGATCTGCTTGATTGCTTCACTGAATACGTTGCTGTAACAGTACAATGCTACACTATTCCCCCAGAGGCAATCGTAAGTCCAGCATCAATATTGCCAAGATTACCTTTCGTAGACATGACCTTCCCCATAAGGTCTATATAGGAGAATCTTGTCCTGTTAGACCATATCAACCCCCACCCCGTCAATGTCAGACATGCTGGCGTTTTGGCCACCCTGCAAAGCACTGTCGGTCCACAGCCTGCTGCCCACTATGTACTAGCCTGCACAATCACGTACATGTGCTAATTGTGGTGGACCCCATAATGTATTTTATAGAGACTGCTCTGCCCACTCTTCCAGTATGATACCCCTATCCAATCCCGATCTTCCGGCAAGTTTGTTGGTGTTATTTTTTACTCCAAGCTATCTTGGCGAGATCATATCCTCTCCATTAAAGAAAAAGCCCACCATCGCCTTCGACTCCTACAAACCCTCTCCCACCTATCCTGGAGTTCGGACCGCAAAACACTCCTCCATCCCCACATTCCCCTAATCCTCTCCACCCTTAACTATAGCTGTCATATATATATTCTTCTGCCTCTGGCTCTCTTCTCTCTCAGTTTGATCCTATCCACCATTGCGGTCTCCGCTTAGCCCTAGGAGCCTTCGGATCCTCTCCAGTAGACGTCGCGCTCTCCTGTCTAAAAAACTATGCTCGCTCTCACCAATTTTCTCTCTCTAAACTAACTGTCCCACAACCCTTTCTTCATACCTTCTCTTCCTCTCCACGTTTCCCTTTCCCTGTTCGTATTGACGCTCTTCTTTCCCATTCATCCTTTCCTCATCTTCGAACTCTCCCTCTTTCTGCCCAAACTTTTCCTCCCTGGCTAACCTTGTAATTGCTCTTCTATATTCCCTGATTTACCGAAGTCAAATATTCCACCTTCTATCCTCCTCACACTCCTTGCACATATCTCTAGTCACTCCTCCAGTGTTCATGTCTACACCGACATCTCTAAATC